CCGCCCCTGACCCCCGCCACGGCCACGGGGGTGCCACGCATGCCCACGCCAGCCCCTGCCCGGGCAGAACCTGGGCAGCCCCTGCCTGGGCTCGCGGCACATGCCGGTGCCGACCTCAGGCGTGCAGCACATGCTTGGCCCCGCCCGCAGTCACGTGGCCTGTGAGCGGCCCCGTCCCCGTACGCGCAGCGCGTGAGTAGCCCCAAAACATTGGGGACCACTGATCTAAACCTTCTGTTGTAGGTTCCTAGGTACCCCAGATGCCTGTAACCGGGAAATTCTGCAAAGGACAATCGCCAAGGCCGTAATACAAGCTGCAGTGTCTGCTACGCCCATGGCGGACTGTAGGGCTGTGCGGGAGACAGTGTGGCCCTCTTGCATGATACTGAGCAAGGTTGGCCTCTTGTGTTCCGGAAGGTGTTGGAGCAGATCTTGGAGCTTAAAGTAGTTAGCTTGGTCATAGTCGTTAGCAAGGCGATATTGTTTCACCTGTACCTCCTGGAGGGCTCTTTCCTGAGCTATAGCTACTCTTTTGAACAAGTCCTGGAATTTTTTTTAGCGTCATCACCAGATGGTGGGGCTTCAATTGTGATCGCTTCATCTAGGGAAGAGGAGGAGTGCTCTGGTCTCCCCTTCAGGGAGAGAGAGAGAGTCATGTGCCTCCGAGGGGGCTGAGGAATTCGGTTCAGTGGCCAATACTGTGGCAGAGTATGAGGGAGGCGGCAGCCTGGAAATAGTCGAAGAGGCCCGATGGTGGCTCTTCTTAGGACGCGGATCCTACGGTTGCCATTGGGTGGTATATGGCAAAAGTGGGTAGGCGTATTGTTGTGCATACCAAGGATGCAGAGGGGGAGGGTATGCATATTGAACCGGGGCCGGCTGCCAGGATGGAGGTCTGTGTGCCAGGGTAGAGTGCTGGGAGGAAAACCTGCTCCTTGATTCGATGCTGATGTCACTGGGAGAGCAAGAAGCAATGGAAGAGCATCGGGACCTCACGGAATGGATGGAGGAGCCTGGGGAAGGTGGTGCTAATGAGCTATGGCTCCGTACCGGGGACCAGCATCACTCACACCCCTCAGTCGGTGCGGGACGATGCGGTTTGGATGGTGGCGGTGCTGGCAGCAGCAGTGCCGAGGATCATTCTGGTGCTGTAGTGCTCGGTGGTGGTATATTGGCA